CTGTGGGCGTCCGCAGCCGTTGTGGGTGGCGGGGTGTGGGGCCGGGTGGGGGGGGCGGGCGCGGGGGGTTTTGCGTGCGAATTTCTGCCGTTAAACACTTCAACACTCTCTTTCAGATCGTATTTCACAAAATTCTGATTTTCAACTAGGGGTACACATAGTTCAGTTCATCAGCTCTATGCTATGAAAACAGGTTATCCAGTGGCGGTACGACCGAGAGGGAGGCTGGGAAGAGCGAACCCTACTCTGCTTTTACCTTTCCGCGCCAGTACTGACCTTATTTCATCGAATGTAACGCGTTGAAACAGTTCAGTTCAGTGAACTGAACTATGTATACTCCTATTTTCAACTTTTTGATCTGGGCTACCCTAACAATAATACAGATATTCTCTTTCTCATAGAGCAGAATTTAGTAAAAAAATAAAAAGAATATGAAATTTTCAGGAATGAAGAAAAATATACAAAATATATGAACAAATAGAATTATTATAATGACGCATATTTCTTTCTTTCGTTGTTGGAAGAAAATGTTTGTGTATTTTATAAGACGTGATTTTTAAATATAAGTACAAAATTTCATAAGCAATCAAATATAAGATGCAATGATTTTCGTTTCAAGAATAAAAAGTACATGGAAACTTTCCTTTCTCGAGTAGCTTTGTTTCTATTTTTGATTTTAAAAAAAGGAAGTTTTAAGAAATCGTCTGTCTAATACATGATTTTACTTATTTCGAAAACAGTACAAACAATTCGATGTAAAATGTTTTCTTTCTTCTCTACTAGACGTCTAAATATTTCTGCGAACAAGCATTTTCTCTTCTCAAATTATTGTCATACGTGATTCATACACTAAGCTGTACTATTTAAAAGGAGATTTCTCCATTGTTACTCAAATAGAAAATGGCAATAAATGGTTTCTTCTGATCTTTCAAGCGATTTCTGTATCAATTGTACATGCTGCTCTTTTCCGTGGTGGTATGATTACATGGTTGGTAAGATGCGAACATTTTTTCTTCTATTCTTTATTGAATAATTTATCTTATTAGGTTTCCTTTGAACAATACACTTGGATTATGGATTATTCAGGATGCAGATGTAATGATACGACAATAGCCATGAGAAGTTATATTTGCGGTGCTAGTAATATGTTTTGTGCATCTGGTAGCAATTGTACCGGTTGGAATAATATGTCTATATTAACAATCTGTACTGATTATAGTACTACACTTAATATTAGTTCTGGTGAATACTATGGAAATCAAACAGTATCCTTACGCAATTCATTTAGTATTACATTCATTGATAGTCAATGGTTCGGAAACCTATATGTTGGAAATAATACTTTGTTTTACCTTACTGCTCAAATCAATATTAATATTCGACCAGATGGGTATATTAATAATAGTCCCTTTGCTATAACTCTTCTAATTGTTTACAAACAAATTAATATTCAACATGTTCATGTTGTTAGTATTAGTGATTTTGATGCATCTGATTTGATAAGATGTCGATGGGCGAATACATCAGGTAATATTAATTCTGCTAATGAATGTGGAAGTGTATGCCAAGGTGTTCCTAATGCTACTCTTTTCGGTGATAATTGTACAATTGTATTTACATTATCAGTGCCATATCAATATGCGGTAGTAGCATTACAGATTGAAGACTATTATAACTCTGCTTCAACAATACCAATTAGTTCTACTCCACTTCAATTCCTTTTTTATGGTTATCCTCCACCTGCTGGTTGTAATAATCCACCACAAATCATTGGTAGTCGACGTAAGAGAAAATTTATTGAAAGATTTTTCAAATAATTCTCATTATTTAATCTATTTGCAGGTTGTATTGGTGCACCTATTGGTTTGAACGTTACTGAATTTATAACCGCAAAAGTATTTTGTCCTGAAAAGAATATTATTGAATTTATTTCAAATTCACCAATCGGTATGGAAAAGGTATTATTACAAATCCAACCTTTGGTCAGTACATGCTATATCACTCAGTTGATAGTTCTTGTATATATTTTTTGTAGGTATCTATCAAATTCTTTCAAGTTGGGTGCGCAATGCTGATCAATACGGTGCACAAGGTTTTTCTGTTAATGCTATTGATAACACTGGTGTTCAATCGAATCGAATCGATGGTCCATCACTTTCTTAGTTGGTTTTAACTCACCGAGTATTATTCGGCCAACTACTGTTCAAAGTTCAGTATCACCAATTGGTACTATTTTTCAAAGTCATACTCAATTCTCTATTCAAAGTAATAATATCGAAAGATTTTAGCAAATTTAAGACGTTAGTTTCTATATATTTTTAGCGACAGTATCTGTTTCTCGTCCAGTGAAGTGAATGTTGACACTAATATAACGTTCTGGGATTCTACTAATAATTCAGTTGCTGCATCATTCAATTGTAGGATTGCATCTGAAGTAACATATATTGGTTTTACAATTTCCATACGTTTTCCAGTTGCACCATGGATTGAAGGACATTCTTATTATGTTACTTTTGATAGTGGTATGTTGAAGTTCTTTTTTCTTTCGTTATATAATCTATCTTTTGCTTTTTACTACAGATGCCGCTAGTGGACTTGAACTTTGTGGTAAATAAATAAATATATATTCTATTCGTTTATTAATTGTTATAATCTAAAATGAAAAATGATCTTGTAGGTCCTCAATCACAAGCAATTACTGATCCAACATTTTGGGTGTTTAATATATGGAAATCACCCGTTTTAACAACTAATATTACTTCATCAACACCAATAACTCTTTCAACTTCGACAACTTCTATTTTAGTACGTTTACTGAAGTCCTTCTCTTGTGAATACCTTAGTTAGTCATATACGACGACAACAATGGCTACCATTACAACTTCAACTAGTAAGAAAACATTTACTTATGATACAAGAGAATTTTTCATAAAGCCTTTATAACTTATATAACAAAATCTTTAACGCAGTATTAACAACAAGTAACGCTCATCCTTTGGATTCGCTGACCCTTTTCTGAAAGACTTCTCCGAATACTCAAAACATTCAGAGACTTCGAAAGAGAAAAAACGCACTGCGATTGCTACTAGTGCTCAACTGAATCATGGCACTATGTCACACACACTAGAATGAATAGGATGCAAAAGTCTTTTTAGGGATCAGACCGATTAGCCATTTGTCGGTGGATAATTCTTCAGCACTAACTATATTGACTGAAAAATTCATCGCTCAACGGCTAGTCAGACGGCCACTCACGGCCAACCATTGACTTTCGTTGAGACAGTAATGAATCTCACCCTTCGGCCAACCCTTATAAGAAGGAATGTTTTTTGCAAAAAAGCGAACCGTTGTCGCAAAAACAGGACAGATAGTTTTTACGGAAAAACTAATACCGGATTCGTGACCCTTGACCTTGATTACCTCAGGCGAATCATTTCCGCATGGTGATCTCTAAGGTTTGATTGGTTTATAAAAAGCTGCAACCTGATTGGATTGGACAAACTCACACCCTTTTAGCTTTTGAGCCACCGATTTTAGAACGCTATAACCCTTTCTTTCAGAAAAGGGAACAATACAATTAAGTAGTTTTGAATGATTTTTAATGATGTATTCCTAGTGATGATCTTTCTAATATATTAGGCAAACTTTGACTTTATTAAATGTTTATTTCTACAGCGCTTTCATTACGAGGATGTGAATGTGACATGGAAGATACTGCTTGATTTTTTAACTTTTATGTACTTAAAACTACTTGAGAGGTAATTTAAGTCATTTGATTGATACTTAGACAATACTTTTGAGGTCTTTCCTAAGTATTTTGATGATACGTATTTATATATAAGTTTGTTGATAATATACCCACGATAATGCAGCAATAAATACATCGATTTAAAATTGTTAAAGGATCCTTCGTTAACACTGGATGAATCGAATAGTTATTTTAAATTATACTTCAGATAACATCAGGATATTAAAGTATCTATAAGACTTGTTCTGGTCAGCTACGTGACGGTTGTACTGATATCAGTTTTGAAAAAATACGAGATAGTATTTTTTTTGAATAACTTTTAATCGTAGCAAGATAGAGATCTGCAGTTTTCAATATTGGAGCGTTAAAATGAAGGCGCACTGAATTATATATTTTGAGCTTTTCTGAGTTTTTTTGTGAAGTTTACGATTCATGGTTTGCAGACGGCCATGTCTAGTAAATAGTAGACAATGAGTTTTCAATTGCTAAGCATGATAAAATTCAGATCATTAATCGAAGATCCACGAAATATGAAAGTTACAGATCTATAATATACTTTTTAGCTGAGCACATACTATGATTTTCCAGTAAAACTGATGAAAAAAACACAGTTTTGTTTCTGAATTTTTTATAAAAGAGCTGTCTCTTCACTAGTCAGAAAACTGAATGTAGTCTTCAAGAAATCGCATTAGGAAAAGCTGTAACCTACGGTTCGGTGTGTCCTCGCCTAATCTTTCTAATATAGGAAAAACCGTGGCTCTCTATCCAGTTTCCATCGAAAGTTATTCAAAAAATACTTATCGATATTCATATAACCAGCACATAGCCGACCAGAATAAGTCTTATAGATACTTTAATATCATGATGTTATATGAAGTATAATCAAATAACGTTGAAAGATAGAGCTTCTTTTTCTCTATCAGACTGTATAGAAAAGCAACTTTTAGAAGACCACCATGTAGTATAAAAGTGTCACTGCCACTACTTTTGGTATGCCCTAAGTAGTAATAGTAGCATATGAAGATAATTTAAATCAAGCTTCATATACTATTAATCTTGATGAATCATTTATTTCTTTTCATTGTGGAAACAATTATACTTCTCCACTCATTATTATCTGATTCAATTATTTCATATGATCTCCGGTTTCGTCTAAGTTAAGTGACCAGAAAAAGAACATCCTTTTTTGATCAGTAATCACAAGCTTATTCATCAAATAGAAATTAAAAAAAAAACTTTTCACGTATATGTCGTCCGCTGAAATGTTCGCTGCGGTGATAACACGCGCGGAAATGCTGTGGAACCGGATATTGTATTTAATAGAAATGTGTCCAATTTAAAATGCATTAAGAAATACGTAATTACATGAATAAAGAAGTTTTCAGGTCGTGCATTTTTGCGTTGCAATTGTTCTCCAAATTGTTTCCTACATTAGAGAAATACCGGCTATATGGTAAAAGTAAGTTTTCATCAATTTCCGATAGAATAATTACTACTTGAGTATCATAAACAGTGGATAATTATTATCGTTGTATCTTTATTCGATTTCATCTGTAGTAATGAACTTATTGTTTTATACTTTTAGTTTTCTATTAGTATCTAAAAAATATTTCTCTGATTAACTTCAACATTATATTGTGTATTTCCAGATATATCAAAACTATAACTTAGTATTATTTACACATGCAACTGACACCAACTACGTAAGTCTTTATGTGATTTGAATTTCATAGATTTTTGATAGTGGACAAACTTTTACACTTCGAATGCTAGTATTTTTGCCTGTGGAGATGGTACATCTTCCGGTGGATCGTCAGATGAAAATAGGGTCAGAAGGATACAAAAACTTTCTTACAAATGTCCAGTAGTGTCAAACTCGAAACTTGAATTCAACTATTATACTTGAATAGTTGAAAAGTTCAACTATTCAATTATTCGAGTATTCTAGAATCCGATCTTTTGGTGCCCGCACACCCAGCTACTGGCGAGCGTGCGACTCACTTTATCCGCAACAAAGTACACGTCAAGCTTCCGATGTGTTAAAGGAACTGTCGATGGACACTTGACGACGATAGCTATTACAAGCACTAAACGCGAAGCCAACAAACAAACAAACTTTCTTTTCTATGCATCTATATAGAACAAGAAGGCAGCGAAACTCATCGCGCCTCTGCATCTGACATTACCGTTTCTATCAAAACACGTTCTTCCACCCGACATAAAAGCAACTCAGCTTTCCCCGGAAAATGTCCCAAAATACTTCTCCCTAATATTCTCATCTTAGTTTTCCACGAAAACCCAGGCCACCCACCACTACCAACAACCTCAACGCTCATCTCACACCCTCACTTTTCCTTGCCCCCTCAACACCCACCCCTAGTTCAAGTTTTGCTAATGAGTATGGTCCCTTTATCCACGGACTCCTGAACTTCTTTATTTCAATCTCTCAGGCATGTCTTGTTACGAACATCCTGTTTAGTTAGTCCAATTTTGTCATTCCGACATACGTGACGAAAATTTTGAATAATATTTTTGTTAGAAGTTTAGAATGACTTTGTTAACGTTAATCGATAGAAAGATGATTTGGATGAAATTCACCCAGACCGCGCACACTCACCCTCATCCTTTTCAAATTAATTCAATAATTCTTCTGTTTTAAAGAAAACTCAAATGTCTTGTTGGCGGTGGTGCTGGTTTTATCGGAAGTCACTTAGCACGACGATTGAAATCAGAAGGTCATTATGTAGTTGTAGCAGATTGGGCACGAAATGAATATTTTACTGAAGATGAATTTTGTAATGAATTTCTTCATATTGATTTACGTGTGCTTGACAATTGTCTTAAAGCATCAGTTGGATGTGATTGGGTATTTAATTTAGCTGCCGATATGGGTGGAATGGGTTTTATCGAGTCGAATCATTCTGTCATTTTGTGGAACAATACTATGATCTCATTTAATATGCTCGAAGCTGCTCGTCGTAACGGTTGTAAACGTTTCTTCTACTCTTCTACCGCTTGTATTTATCCTGAATGTATTCAGATGACAGAAGATGCGAAAAGTTTACGTGAAGATGATGCGTGGCTTGGAAAACCACAAGGTGCATATGGTCTGGAGAAACTCGTTTCCGAAGAAATTGCCATGCATTATGGTCATGATTTTTCACTAGAAATTCGTATTGCTCGATTTCATAATATTTATGGGCCCCAAGGTACATGGAAAGGAGGTCGAGAGAAAGCACCGGCAGCTTTTTGTCGCAAAGTGCTTGTCGCACACGAAGGAAATAATAACGGTGAAGTGCAAATATGGGGTGATGGGAAACAAACACGCTCATTCTGTTATATTGATGATTGTATCGAAGGTGTTCTACGAATAATGATGAGTAACTATACTCAACCTTTAAATTTAGGTAGTGATGAAATGTTTTCAATCAATGAAATATGTGATATAGTAGCTGAAGTTGGAGGCGTTTCAATTCATAAGAAATATATTTCTGGACCTGAAGGTGTTCGTGGTCGTAATAGCGACAATACACGTATCCAATCGATACTTAGTTGGGCGCCACATATAACTCTTAAAGAAGGTATTCGAAAAACGTATGCTTGGATTCAAGGTGAACTCGACAAAGAACGATCATCGATAAATATCGCTCAGTATGCAGATTCAATCATCATTATGGAAGCCAATAATAGTTTGCAACATATTGGGCAAGTTAAAAACTAATATTTTCTTTTTTTTCTGGTCTCATCGATTTTTCATATTGATCTCACGATGATCCATTTTTTTCACCCAGTAGCCAAAAATTAAACAAAAAGATCAAGAAAGTTAGAGACAATAGTTTTTCAATTATCCCTTCTTATTCACACATTTGTTTTTTCCTCCTTGTAATTTATACTTGTTTCATTTAGCGAGCATAGACTGGAGTTGCATAAGTATAGAATACTGGATTACATTTAGAATTAGAAGTGTATCTCAAGAACAATTTCTACTCATCTACTCTTATGTTCAATCTCATTCAATGTTATACTTATGTCTCTCTTCTATTCTTTCACGAACTAATTATATCGTTCCATGTTCTCTCTCTTTCTTTCTTTCTTTCTACTACATTAACTTGTGCTGAATGTAAATTAGTTGCATTTACATGTAGATTATAGGCAAATAAATATCATGTTGTAAAATGCACACACAAAATTATGTCTTTTCTTTTGCCAATAGCGAATCAAGAATGAACTAGCTTAACTAACATCGTTACTGTGTAATACAATAGAGCTAGATACATACAATTATACTATGGTATTCAGTTCATTTCTTTTCTTGTTATTCGATCATACTTATTTTAAAATTCGCCACAAAATGCACCTCTTTGAACGAACAGTATTCATTTTCTTCCCGTGGAAGTACCGAAAACAAAGTGTTGACACTATCTTGTTGTCGTCTTCATTTCAAAAGATCTCTAAATGTATGTATTTCTATATTTCAGATGCTTCTATTTTTTTGGCTAATCATTGACGATTTGTAGGCATGTCATGGTACAAACTGATACAATTTTGTTTGGTTCTGTTAATAATATTGTCTATAATTATCACACAATTTTTTTTTATCGTATTACAGAAGAACAAAGATGATTTTGCTTTCGTATCGAAAGATAGCCCGCACAAAAAAGTTCTTCCTCATCATCCCTCGATATGTATGTTGTTACCAGTTTCAAGCCGTGGTGTTAATCAAATGAAACTTGATAATCTTCGTCTTTCCGATCTTCCTCTAGTTCATACATTCATACCATCTTTTCTCAATACTATAGAACTTCATTATGCTTATCAATTATATATTGGTTATGATTGTGATGATCCATGGTATGATAATGAACAAAATTGGAGTGATCTAATTAATTTTATCCATAGTTACATAAGAAATACTAGTTCATCCGATTTTCGCGTAGACATAAAAGTAAATGTACTCTATGGAATCGATCAGAGAATTACTGCTATTTGGAATACATTAGCAGCTATTGCCTATAAGGATGATTGTGATTACTATTATCCAGCAAATGATGATCTACAATTACGAACGAAAGGATGGACAAGTGCAGCAATTGAATTACTACAAAGCTGTGCTGTTGCTAGCAATTTTGGTATTGTCGCTTTTCGTGATATTAGTGCATGTGAATATCCGACGTTTCATCTTACACATAGAAAACATTTAGACTTACATGATGGAATATATTATCCGTTACCATCGCATGGTGCTCATCAAGATACGTGGATCTTTAGTATGTATCGTGCTTGGAATTGTTCCTTTTTTTTGCCACAATATCAGTTGAGAAATCATGTTGGTCTTTCTGTCAAGGCACGTTATGATTATGGTGACGATAGTAAGATTACTTTTTGGGTTCGACGCTCTCGAAAATATTTATACAATCGTCTAATGAATTTTTCAACAATGGATTATAATCAATCTTTAATTAATCTTTCCCATATTAACTCTCATGTTGAATTAAAAGTACCTTGTTCAATTGAAGATAAAGAGAAAATAGATGCTTCTTTATTAGCTGATGCAAACAAAATAAATTAATCCTTCGTGATTGTTGTGGAATCTGCGTAGATCTATTCCAAAGATTTGAATTCAAAAGTACATTAAAAGCTGCTGTGTCCGACCAATCCCTTTATCTCATCTCTAGTCTTATGCTGGTCCATATCATCCTTATCTGAAATCATAGATATGTCTAATAGATCAAAATAACGGCGTTAAGGATTCAACCAGATCCAAAGATAATTTTGCTTATTTACAATTATTTTTTGAAATACGTTCTTTGATTAAGGATTCTTAACATTCCTCAAAAGTAAAACTTGATGTATGTCTTATTCCTACAATCAAAACTACATTTACTGCTTGTAATCTATTTAAAAGTATTCCTTTTCACAAAAATGTAAGACAATTTAAATAAATACGTTTTTGAATCTTTTATATTTGTATACTACAGAATATTGATTTTCTTATGAAAAATAATCACCTAATTAAAATAAAACCTGTGTTATTAAATGTTCTTATCGTCGCAAATGTCCTAATGTGCGTCTACCTGCTTTCTTGTACTTGAGGTGTTACTTTACTTTTCATCTTAAATCTGAAGTAGTTTAGTGGATTTTATATTTTTTAAGAAAGATATTGGAGAAATATATTGAACTAGAGGGAGTACCCGCTGCAAATAAAAAATATCTGTCGAACATCTCACGTGTTAAAGAACTATAACGGTTTAGTGGAAAATCGACAATAGGAATTTGGACAACGGAATTTGGACAATCTTGCAGATTTGAAAAACTACATAGGCTTTCCTAGGAGTATTTCAGTACAAATTTTCATGTAGTATCCTACTGCCCAGACCTATCCAGACCCTCACATCCTCATCTGCACCCTCACTGTATCTCTAGGCAGGTTTTTTAAATCCGGCAATATTGTCCAAATTCCGTTGTCCGAATCCCTATTGTCGATTTTACGTTTTACCGATGTATACAACCTACAAACCAAAGATGATACTAAGCTCATATCACTTTTTCGGATTTCTTCGATTAGAAACATCATTCCGTACAATGCATTAGATCTTTTCGTGTAAGTTCTTGAGCTACTATCTTTGTATGCATGACGCCCATGAATAGCGTTCAGCTCACCATCTTCTACAAAAGATTTTAGAACAGATAAAGAAAAATATCTCCTTCGTAAAGAGGAAGGAATAAGCCCAAGCTCAGCGAATAAGACGAAATTCACCCTCAAATTCGAATTTCCCGACGTCAGCAACCTTTCGGTCTACTCAGACAATGGATGTTAATAAGTCATGGCTAGTTAACGAAAAACTAATAATTAATTAATCAACACTAACCTCAGATTCGTGATCCTCGACCCCGATTACCTGTCATCAGTCATTTTCTAATGAGGTTGGTTAAGTTTTCATTGATTTATGAAATGCTGCAATCTGATTGGATTATGCAAACAAACTTATTGCATTTTACTGGCCTGATTTATGACGCTATAACCCTTTCTTTCGGAAAAGGGAATTAATAAAAACTTAGTCAATTTTCAATATTTTCTCGTTCTCTCCGCCGAATTTCGATAAACGAGAAGGATCCAGTAAATCTCGACTATGTAAAAGCAAAAATTAGGAGAAACTGATAAAAATCAGCTCCTGAAATCAGGAGTTTTTTAGTCAGAGAAAATTGACAAAACCAGTAGACTCCTGACCAAATCAGGAGGTTTGGTATAGCTGATCTTCTCTCGCACAATATGCCAAAGACACAGGACATCATACTGATTGGACTGGTTTTCGTGTCATATGGAGAGATGACAACCCTAATCGGCTGCTAATCAAAGAATCTTTACTGATTCAAGCATTCAAGCCAGAACTGAATCGAACAACACACTCAGTACCACTTATTGTGTTTCCAGATGGCTTACTAAGAGATATGTTACCTGACCCCAAACGGCTAAATTCGTCCTTCTCTCAGTTATTGTTAATTTTAATCGTTTTTGATTTCCGTTGTTTCAAGTCATTTCTCTAGTAGTTTCTCTTCTATCTTGATAATGATGTCTTAGATCATCGAAATGTCGATTCTTCTTTTATTTTATTTCAATAGACATAAGTTCGTTATGTTATTTCAAAGTCGCTGTTATTTACACATTTCTTTTGAAATTATTGTCTTTATCAACTTCTAATGTTTACACGCAAGAAATTAAATTGCAAAGTGAAATGATGATTGTGCAACAAATAAACTCTAGACACGAAATGATAAAAAGCACTTACATTAACTAGAAGGAAACGCGGAAGTGGTTAATGCATAATTTGCCAATAGTATTGACTGAGAAAAAAAACGAGGATGAGAAATAAAACACAATAGATTGAATATCACATTATTATGGGCTTGGAACAATACCACTTCATTTTTAGTTAAATGTGAATGCAGACAGCAATCAAGTATATGCTCTTCGGTCGTTCGATCTTGACTGTGCTTTGTTTCGGTTTATTAGTTATGTATATGAATACAAAGTCGATGAGTCTCTCGAAGAATTACATGAAGAATGGTAGGGTAAATGTTGCATTCAGCATACTCTTGTTTATATAAAAAAATAGATGCCATTCGGGTGGTGTTCACTACTGATTTCATCAGTGATGATGGTGCGATTCCCATCGATATGAATTCGTTATTGCGACAGGTAAACTTGACTGTTAGTTTACTGTTAAACATCCAATATGACTATCACAAACATACAGATCAATTATCAAAGCAACGAATACGGTTCGTCAAAGTTTTTTCGCATGTTTATTCTGATTCTTATAATTCTTTACTTCTGATATAGAAATGGCGTATCATGCGATATAAATATCATCGCGAGAAACAAGAATATGATCAAAGGACATGTATTCATATGTGATGACAATTATTGTCCAGAAAAGCAGTTGGCTCATATGAAATCAAACTTAACGTCAACTGTGTTCTCATTCGATACCAAATTGAATCATGCAACCAATAGAAGAATTCGTATGAGGCTCTGTTCTTTTATTCCAAGTGTAGTGAAAGCGTACAAAGTTTCATAATTTCCAGTCTACCTTTTCTTTGTATTTTAGTGTTATCTTCTACCAAGGACGAAACTAATCTTGAGCGAGACGACAACATTTGCCCAGAAAAAACGTGCTCTCAACCAACGTTGTATGACAAATACCGATTGTGCCAATGGCAACTGTCATATTCTACTCAAAACATGTCAAAGTATGGGTAGTCTGGAAATTTTTCCTCACAACGGTACTCTTCTTCTAGCACCTTCGTGTACAGATGGTAACAAAAATCAAGATGAACTAGCTATTGATTGTGGAGGCGCAACTTGTTTAACTGCATGCAGCGAACTACAATGACGATTTGCAAACGAAATCATTTTATTCAAACGAAAAACATCAATCTTCGATTAAAAGTGCATAACACTACAATTTGGATCTGTTATCACGTGTGGACAATACTCCGGCACATCAAATATACCTTTTGGCAATAAATTTCGATCTTCCGAATACCCATGTAACCCTGAAACGCAGAAAAAACGCGTTTGGACGCGTTTGGTGTTTCACATAGTGTAGTGCCGCGTCTAGACGCATCCTATGAACGCGTCCGAACGCGACAGAATTATCAAACGTGGTCAGACGCATCCTATACACGCATTTGAACGCGGTAGAACCTAAGAACAGCGGCCAGACACATTCTATAAACGCGCCCGAACGCGATACAACTAAGAAATGCGTCTAGACGCATCCTATAAACGCATCCGAACGCGATAGAATTAAGAAACGCGTCTAGACGCATCCTATAAGCGCGTCTGAACGCAATAGATCCTAAGAAACGCGGCCAGGCGCATCATATAAACGCGTCCAGACGCGTTTATGTGNACAGAAGACATAAGGGAACGAATCCTCTTGAAGTTTTTCATACCTTATAGAGGTCTATCTATTGCCAAAAGATGAGCCATAAAGGCCTTTATCATCTCGAGAGGTTTCCTCGTAAGTTAAGTGACCAGAGAAAACATCCTTCTCTGATCAGTAATCGCAAGCTTATTCATTAAATAGAATTAAAACAGAAACTTTTCGGGTACATGTCGTCTGTTGAAATGTCGTACGCGGTAATAACACGCGCAAAAATGTCGTGGAATCCGATTACATATTTAATAGAAATGTGTGCAATTTAAAAAGTATTAAGAAATATGTAGTCATACGAATAAAGAAGCTTTCAAGATCTGTATTTTAGCGTTACAGTTGTTCTTATATCTAATTTCTACATTGGAGAAATAACGGCTATATAGTAGAAGTCAGTTTTCATTAATTTTCGGTAGAATAGTTACTATTTAAGTATCATAAACAGTGGAAAATTATTACCGTTGGATCTTTATTCAATTTCATCTATAGTAATGAACTTATTGTTTTATACTTTTAGCTTTCTACTAGTATCTAGAAATTATTTCTGTGACCAACTTCAACATTATATTGTGTATTTACACATGCAATTGACACCAACTACGTAAGTCTTTATGTGATTTGAATTTCATAAATTTTTGATAGCGCACAAACTTTTACACTTCGAATGCCAGTATTTTTGCCAGTGGGGATGGTACATCTTCCGGTGGATTGTCAGATGAAAATAGGATCAAACGCATACAAAAGCTTTCTTACAAATGTCTTAAGTACGACATTAAAATTTTGCTACACCTCTTAGTACTAGATTCATTCGAAAAGAAATGCGGAAAATTCAAATTTTATCCGAAAGTTACATGTACTGCAAGAGATGTATCAAAGTAGAAGGTTTCAAAGCTGTCACCAGCAGCATTTTGTTGATACTTTGACGATTGAGAGAAAGAAATAGTTAGAAATTTTAAAACATTATTTAAGAAGATAAATATCATGAATTTGATTGATACAAGAAAGGATACGACGGAAATGAAGAAGAGAATTAGAAAGGAGAGAGAAAGTTGAAAGACAAATTTCAAGTCGCGTTGGGTTTCGTATTAAATATTATTTTAAAAAAGCGTAAATATGTTAATGATTATGAATACAATTATCATGAAAAACCAAAACCAATCAGCATTAAAATCTGTATAAAAAGAACGATCTAAATAATCTTAAAGATGAATGAATGTGGATTGTGTAGTTTAAATTTTGGAAATGAGTATAGTTCGTTTATCCACGAACTCCTGAACTTTTTTTATTTCAATCTGCCAAGCATATCTTGTTATAGACATCCTGTTTAGTTAGTTCAATTTTGTCATTCCGACATCCGTGACGAAAAATTTTGGATAATTTTTTCGTTAGAAGTTTGGAATGATGAGATGAGACGAAACATCGTTTTCTCACTTTGACTATGCTCAACTCGAATCCCCAATTTAGTAAATGGTGTTTTTGAACGAGTCTCTACATTTTACGTTATTCAGCATGTTCAGAATGATTTTGTTAACGTTAATCGATAGAAAGATGATTTGGATGAAATTCACCCAGATCACTCACACTCAGCCTCACTCTTTTCAAATTATTTCAAATTTTTTTTTGTTTTAAAGAAAACTCAAATGTCTTGTTGGCGGTGGTGCTGGTTTCATCGGCAGTCACTTAGCACGACGATTGAAATTAGAAGGTCATTATGTAGTTGTAGCAGATTGGGCACGAAATGAATATTTTACTGAAGATGAATTTTGTAATGAATTTCTTCATATTGATTTACGTGTACTTGATAATTGTCTTAAAGCATCAGCTGGATGTGATTGGGTATTTAATTTAGCTGCCGATATGGGTGGAATGGGCTTTATCGAATCGAATCATTCTGTCATTTTGTGGAACAATACTATGATCTCATTTAATATGCTCGAAGCTGCTCGTCGCAATGGTTGTAAACGTTTCTTCTACTCTTCAACCGCTTGTATTTANAGCCAATAATAGTTTGCAACATATTGGGCAAGTTAAAAACTAATATTTTCTTTTTTTTTCTGGCCTCATCGATTTTTCATATTGATCTCACGATGGTCCATTTTTTTTCACACAGTAGCCAAAAATTAAACAAAAAAATCAAGAAAGTTAGAGACAATAATTATTCAATTATCCCTTCATATTCACACATTTGTTTCTTCCTCCTTGCAATTTATACTTGGTTCATTTAGCGAGCATAGACTGGAGTTGCATAAGTATAGAATACTGGATTACATTTGGAATTAGAAGTGTATCTCAAGAACAATTTCTACTCATCTACTCTTATGTTCAATCTCATTCAATGTTATACTTATGTCTCTTTTCTATTCTTTCATGAACTAATTATATCGTTCCATGTTCTCTCTCTCTCTCTTTCTTTCTACTATATCAACCTGTGCTGAATGTAGATTGTTTGCATTTACATGCAGATCATAGGCAAATAAATATCATGTTGTAAGATGCACACACAAAATGATGTCTTTTCATTTGCCAATAGCGAATCAAGAATGAACTAGCTTAACTAACATCGTTACTGTGTAATACAATAGAGCTAGATACATACAATTATACTATGGTATTCAGTTCATTTCTTTTCTTGCTATTCGATCATACTTATTTTAAAATTCGTCACAAAATGCACCTCTTTGAACGAACAGTATTCATTTTCTTCCCGTGGAAGTACCGAGAACAAATTGTTGACACTATCTTGTTGTCATCTTCATTTCAAAAAATCTCTAAATGTATATATTTCTATATTTCAGATGCTTCTATTTTTTTTAGCTAATCATTGACGATTTGTAGACATGTCACGGTACAAACTGATACAATTTTGTTTGGTTCTGTTAATAATATTGTCTATAATTTTCACACAACTTTTCTTTATTGTATCACAGAAGAAAAAAGATGATTTTGCTTTCGTATCGAAAGATAGCCCGCACAAAAAAGTTCTTCCTCATCATCCCTCGATATGTATATTGTTACCAGTTTCAAGCCGTGGTGTTAATCAAATGAAACTTGATAGTCTTCGTCTTTCCGATCTTCCTCTAGTTCATACATTTATACCATCTTTTCTCAATACTATAGAACTTCATTATGCTTATCAATTATATATTGGTTATGATTGTGATAATCCATGGTATGATAATGAACAAAATTGGAGTGATCTAATTAATTTTATCCATAGTTACATAAGAAATACTAGTTCATCCGATTTTCGCGTAGACATAAAAGTAAATGTACTCTATGGAATGGATCAGAGAATTACTGCTATTTGGAATACATTAGCAGCTATTGCCTATAAGGATGATTGTGATTACTTTTATCCAGCAAATGATGATCTACAATTACGANATGTTATCATTCTCGCTGGTTTTTGGCTTCGATGGAGTGCTATACGATTGCCGAGAACCATCGAATTGTTAAATCTAACGAAGAGTCAGAAACTTCTTGTTCTAGGGTTGAAAAACTTTGGTGTCATCGATTTAAAAAAATACATGAACATGTCGTACGAATTTCGCATTCAGCAGTTTCAACAACCCGAAGAAAATGCTACAGAAGTGAATACAATCATGAAACGAAGCTTCAGTCCATCAGTGTATATCGATACCATAGGCATGGTCTGTGTTTTCCAGAATAACACGTGTCCTATCTTTACTCCGCATGGTAAACTCATCACCTATGATGGCTGGCATACGATGAAACACGGCGCGCGTTATGTCGGTGAAATTATCTTTAGTCAATATCCACTAAATCAGCTGTGAAACAAAACAAAGCTGTTCGATCGAAGAGCATTCATTTTATTGCGTATAACTAAAACTACAAGGTAATTCGAGGACACTGAAGTCAAGAATTTGTACCATTCCGTGGCTGAACTTGGTTGTTGGTTCCATTAAAAAAACTTAAAACGACCTTTTTAAATTTGTTTGTCATGGAAATGCTCATCAGCGCAATAAATATTAAACATGTAGCTGTAACCAGTCCAACAATTGCATACGTCCATATAAATAAATGTCCATTACCTATTCCGTAGAATATAAAGGCAATAGTTGGAAAACGTAGACTGATTAAAATGAGTACACAGATGATAATTCGTTTAATAGCGGTAAAATCTCTCAAGTTTCGTTGTTTTTCCGTTGCACGAATGTTTGTTCTCGTTCGAATATATCTCGTTATCCAAATATAAATGACGATCATTGTTATTAATGGAATAGAATACAGAACGAGGATTAAATAAAATGAACCAATCAGGTTATCGTACGGAATGAGACAATAGCTTTCGCCTGGTAAATGAATGTACCATTTGAGAAATAATGTTGGCAAAAGTAAAATAATAGTTATAAGCCATTGAATTAGGATTAAAATTCGATAAAACTTCCAGGATAATAAAAATCGAGTTTTGTAGTAAATTATTCGACACAAACGATAAAATGATTGAAGACAATAACTATAATATATTGCACATTCGAATATGTCATAGAATAAGCCAAATACATAACAAAAGTCGATGTTGCGTAGCAGAAAGGGCTCGAAAACGTTTGAACTGACCATGACTAAGACGGAGAATGATGTTAAGAATCCCGCTAGACAGGTGTTCATGGTTAAGTATAAGGAAATATCTATTTCTCGTTGTTCATTTCGAATTTTTAAAAATAAAATAAATAAGATTAAGAATAGAAATATGCTGACTAAGGTCAAGGACCAATTGAGAATACCAAAGGCCGAAGCACTTGCCATAATTCTATGAAAAGGAATTTGTTTTCTGGAACGAAAACGCAATTCAGATGAAAAGTAGAATTATAATGTTCAATTTATGATTGTTGATAAAATAGTTGTCGTATGCTTTAAAAATCGAAGTGTTAAACTGTATAGGCCTTTTTGAGAAGTATTGTACTTATTAAAATCTTAGAATCTAAGAAGCGCACGATAACATCTGATATGGAGCAAGACTAACAATGCACTCTTTATACTCAAAGTATCATCTGGTATACTTCTCGTACTTGTTATCCTCTGTGAAAGCTACGTGAAATACAGGAAGAGTGAAGCGTTTGATGCACTCACATACATCTTTTCATTGTGATCTGAAAAGAAAGCTCCAGATAACGTGGCGATCTCTTCCGCTAAACATATCAAACTACGACATATTGTGATGTGTCAGAAGCTAATGAAGCTAAAATGTTTCAAACTGATTAAATTGTAAATATTAATTAATGGATTATGTCTCTTACATTTTTCTAATAATTAAAACCAGACAGTAGAAGAAGGGAATTTTATGATGCTAAAGAAAGTCTTTTTTTTATAAATAATAAATATATGCCCACACTGTTTAATGATAATAACAGATTTCTATTCTATTTCCCGAGAAGTAATTTCATAAAACTGTATAAAGTAGTCATAGTAACAGTCTAGAGTAATCAATGGGAAATTTTGATGAAAAGTACTCCATAGTTCCTACGTATTCCTATTTCTTTTATTAGTCAAAACTGACGTGATTTCTCTCGTGTTATCTACTATAATACATCTATAGTAAACTGAAAACTCTCAAGTCACTAAATCATAATTTGCTCGAGGAATGAATTCACAACAGGATGGCAAAGCCTATGCAAGAGGAAAGCGATGTCATGCGAAGTTAATCAGATGATGGAAACGAGCATTTCTATGTATAATCAGTTATATGCCCTTAGTAGATGAAGGTTCTTAACAATCAGACTGTTCAGAAGCTGGCTCACAGTCAGTTCTTGAACGTCATCGATCTCCACAAAATACAAAGCCCTTTTTTACATCTGCTGTATGTCAAAAGATTGACGTCGAAAGATTCCTGTTTCTTCTAGTTATTATCTATTAATTAAAACTTTAATATGAATATCTGATGTTTTTCTTTTGACGTTATGACAAGAATATCCATCTACCTAAGTAGGACACGAACGTATTCGACCTCTTTAATGAGAACATTTGGAGCAGATACTCCTCTTCAAAGTTGAGTTTTTATAAGTCCTTTGCTAAAAAGATTTAGCTTAAGAACAACAATTTGGCATATGTCAATCACGGCACAAATAACGACCGAAGTCTCTCTTCTGGTACTCGTGTACGTATAGTTTTGAATTACAATGTAAATAGAGATATAACCAGTTCTTTCACTCTTCTTCATCGCTCACATTACTTTCTACTGAAATTGGAAACAATCCATTGGATCCTCCTCACTGTTATATCTTCTGGTTTTTGCTGTTGATTATAATGACATCCACCTGATCTGTCATTTTATGATCCATTCACACAGAATTAATACAAAGCAGGCAGATTTCTTGTCACGATTATGGCTTCGATGAAGTCACGCACAAGAAATTAAATTGCAAAGTGAAATGATGATTGTGCAACAAATAAACTCTAGACACGAAATGATAAAAGGCACTTACATTAACTAGAAGGAAACGCGGAAGTGGTTAATGCATAATTTGCCAATACTATTGACTGAAAAAAAAACAATAGATTGAATATCACATCATTATGGGCTTGGAACAATACCACTTCATTTTTAGTTGAATGCGAATGCAGACAGCAATCAAGTATATGCGCTTCGGTCGTTCGATCTTGACTGTGCTTTGTTTCGGTTTATTGGTTATGTATATGAATACAAAGCCGATGAGTCTCTCGAAGAATTACATGAAGAATGGTAGGGTAAATGTTGCATTCAGCATACTCTTTCATACATATAAAAATAGATGTCATTCGGGTGGTGTTCACTACTGATTTCATTTATGTTGATGGTACGATTTCCATCGATATGAATTCGTTATTGCGACAGGTAAACTTGACTGTTAGTTTGCTGTTAAACATCCAATATGAGTATCACAAACATACAGGTCAATTATTGAAGCAACGAATACGGTTCGTCAAAATTTTTTCGCATGTTTATCCTGATTCTTATAATTCTTTACTTCTGAATATAGAAATGGCGTATCGTGTGATACAAATATCATTGCGAGAAACAAGAATACGATCAAAGGACATATATTCATTGTCGAGTTTTATCTATCACCCATATATGATAACAATTATTGTCGAGAAAAGCAGTTGACTCATATAAAATCAAGCTTAATGTCAACTGCGTTCTCATTCGATATCAAACTGAACGATGGAACTAACAGAACAATTCGTATGAGGCTCTGTTCTTTTATTCCAAATGTAGTGAAAGCGTACAAAGTTTCATAATTTCCAGTCTACCTTTTCTTTGTATTTTAGTATTATCTTCTACCAAGGACGAAACTAATCTTGAGCGAGACGACAACATTTGCCCAGAAAAAACGTGCTCTCAACCAATGTTGTATGACAAATACCGATTGTGCCAATGGCAACTGTCATATTCTACTCAAAACATGTCAAAGTATGGGTAGTCTCGAAATTTTTCCCCACAGCGATACTCTTCCTCTAGCACCTTCGTGTACAGATGGTAACAAAAATCAAGATGAACTAGCTATTGATTGTGGAGGCGCAACTTGTTTAACTGCATGCAGCAAACTACAATGACTTGCAATCGAAATCATTTTATTTAAGCGAAAAACATCAAACTTCGATTAAAAGTGCATAATACTACAATTTGGATCTGTTATCACGTGTGGACAATACTCCGGTACATCAAATATACCTTTTGGCAATAAATTTCGATCTTCCGAATAGTATGAGAAATCAGCGTGCATGGCATTTAACCATCCGAGACGACATGGTACACCAGTAGCAACTGATGTCAGCCACGAGAATGTCGCCACATCTGGTACATTTTTTGTCCAGGAATGACATGCGTGTTCCATGACTGTAACAATTCCATCGTATGTCGTATCATTACCGATTTGTAGCCAGTCTAAATAGAGAGTAAAATGTGATACAGAGGAAAAAACTGTTTGTTTTTACCAGGTCTTGGTGGTGTGACACCTGTTTGTTGTGGATCGATGCAACATGACCGATTGGCACGTTCTAATCGCCAAACTGTTGTTCCATTGTGCATGATTGTATATGTATAAGAATCTTCTCTCATTAAATTCATCACCTGTGCCGGTCGAGTCCAGTCATAATAGATTTGTGCGGATACGGTTTGATTATTGAATAAATAATGCGCACTTCCAGTTGACATCCAAACTGAAGGCCATCGTGGCGGCGACGGCGTTACAGATGAAGCTGTTGCAATGAATAAAGCGAGTAACACTTCACGAAGCATACTGATTTATGTAAAAAAGAACATCTGAAAAGAATGCGTCTTAAATACCTTTTCGGTTGCCATCCTTACAGCAACAAAGAAAAAACAAAATAAAATGATTAAGCATATATGACACATGAATTTATCTTTTTAGATTAGGGCGTGAGAAACTATATTTGCACCTTATCATCGTTTCTTTTTATTCATAAGAATTGTTAACAAAGCTTTTTGCAAGGCTATAAAACACATGCATCCTCTGGAAATGAAATTAATCGAAACGAATCAAGCTTTTCTTTTCGCACGAGCCAAATTATCTTTGTATACTTGAAGATTCTCTTGTTTGATACACGGTGAATGTTCCGCAACCCGCAGAGCACGCTCGTAGAATAAACGTGCTTTGGTATAGTCACGCATGGTTTCGTATACTGAAGCAATATTAGTGTAAGAGCAGGCTATGTCAGGATGATTCGGCGGGAACGATTGCTGACGAATGGCCAAGGCTTTCTCATGAGACAGCAACGCTTTATCGTGCTTACCCATACTACAATAGACGTTGCCAATATTGTTATGAGAAGAAGCTAAATCAGGGTGATTGGGCAAAAGTGATTGCTCGATAATGAGCAAAGCTTTCTGATAATATGACAACGCTTTTTGGAAATCGCCGATACTGCGAAACACATTACCAATATAGTTGTAACACGATGCAAAATCAGGATGATCAGCATTGAGCGCTTGTTCGTAAATTTTCAAAGCCCTTTCGTGATATGTAAGCGCTATTGTGTACTCGCCCATATGGCGATGGACACTGCCGATGTTATTGAGCGACTTTGCTAGATCGGGATGGTTAGATGATAAGGACTGCTGGCAAATAGCAAGATCTTTTTCGTAGTAGGAAAGTGCTTTGGCATAATCTCCCATACTTTGATGAGCGCTTCCAATATTATTGTACGTCGAGGCCAAGTCAGGATGATTAGGTGGCAATGACTGTTGGCAAATGCTGAGGTCTTTTTCATAGTAGGCGAGTGCTTTTTCGAATTCGCCCATACTCTGGTATACACTACCGATGTTATTGTATGTGGAAGCTAAATCTGGATGATTCGACGGAAGTAATTCTTCATTGATCTCTACGGCTTTCTGATGCGATTGAAGAGCTTTGGCGTACTCACTCATGTTATAGAGTGCCATACCAATATTATTGTACGATTTAGCGATTTCCGGATGAGATGAGCCAATTGCCTGTTTGAGAATTCGTAAAGCATCCTGATGAACTTTGAGAGCATTGGAGTAGTTTCCTATACGAAGATACGCACTGCCCATTCGGTTATACAGATTAGCCAAACTGACAGATTCCGCAGAGGAATTCTTCTGATAAATCGAGATCAACTTCTTACAGATTTCGATTGTATCTTGATATTTTCCTTGCCCATATTTAGCCAAGCTGAGTCGATCGTAGATGGATGCTTTTTCATTATCGTCGGACTTTTGCTTCAACAGATCTTCATAGATTTCTTCCGCCTTTTCGGCTTGACCCATTCGTAGAAGCAACGCTCCCAATCGATACCATGGTTCATTGCCGGGAAGACTTTCTCGACGAATGTAACATGCCAATTCGAACAATTCTGGATCGTTGTCACTCGTGAGACTCAAATGAACTTCATACAAATGACTGTCGTCCGACATTTCTTGTATGTCTTTGATACGAAAGACTGCGTTCATCGAGAATAAAACTTCGTCTTCTTTAGCATGAGCACTAACACTGGCGATCGATGCAAATGGCGTGTTGGATCGTACCGGATTAATTTCCATAACAAACAGAATTCCTACCTTTCCTGAACTAGTCCGGACTGAAGGTGCAAAGTTAATCGCCGTTTCTCGATTGTAACTAGTAGATAGGAAATTATTAAATGAAATCAAGCCGCCTTTGCTTTGTAGCATCTGTTCAAAGTCAACCTGCGAAATGCCTTGTCCACGAAAGACAGTAAATGTTTTCGGCGACGTTTGATAAACGAACTGGTCCAGATAAAGCTGCTCGATTTGCTGATGAAGATCTTTAATGAAAAATCCCATCTTGATAATCATATCACCATCCATCGCTTGCAAAGCCTTGTTCAGCATCGGATATAGAAAACACTGGTACGTGTACCACCATACAGCTTTCTCCTTTTTGTACGTGCGTTCAAATTCGTTAACGCATGAAGATTCAGCTTTATTCCCGGTGAAAATCTCTCGGCAAAACTCTATATAATTTCGCCGATAAGTCGAATCGAATTCAATAGTGAGAATGATTTCCTTAATAATCTGGATGTACATGAAAGTTGGATTCAATTGATCCAAGCGTTTGTCACTCGACACGAAACTCATCGACATGGCATTGTGTTCAACTTGTTGAGCAATTTGTTTGATCATTTTAGAGATCAGCACGATATCGGCACAAATACCTTTTATTTTTGGCCACTGTTCAGCCCAATGTTTAAGTCGTTTCTGGTCATCCGAAAAGATGAAGATCGAATCGACTTGAGTCAAATCGTGTACTTGAGATACGACGTGTTGACTGAGTGTGCCTTCGATGATCATGCATGCTTTGCTGTTTTCAAGACCTTGAAGAAACTCGATGCAAAGATTGTCACTTTTAAATGTCTCGACGTCGTTCACCACCAGCTGCAATCGGGTAACAGTATTTTCATACTCTAAACTATCCTCGTCGATATGGTTATCCAACCAGATGAGAACAGTATTTTGTGCTCGTCGAATATTGATCCGTTGAAGGACGGCTGGATCCGTTGGAGGTGCATGAGTATTTTCTGTTATTCGAGGTCTGATATGACCTATTAGGTCTGCACTGATCAACGGATCGCTGTTCGATGGCGTCGATTTAGTACCATTCATTGTTTTGCGCTCGAAAAATAGTAATCGAATGTTTTCAGTACAGTTGACAATGAAAGAGTGAACAGAAATAGCACATTTTAAAATGTTTACCTTCACTTTCTTCAAACAGTTTTCTCCTTTCGTTCTGTCTTCCATGACTTGAGAAAAAATCAGAAACGGCAGTGCGACTGATCACATTTGAAAAAATTCACAGGGCAAATCGTTGCTACTTGCAGAATGATGTGACCGATAGAGAAAAATAGTTTTTTTATTTCGATTCCGTTGGATCGTCATATAATCGCGTGTCGCCCCTTCTTCAGTACGAAACCATCGTAACGAATGTTCGTAAACGTGGCAAACAACAGCCTATGCGTGCAAAGAAATCAAGCTGATGATTATTACTGTATAAGTTCGGTAGATAATGAAATGATAAAGGATTGATTCAATAGACTCTTTGTGCACGTATTTGAGAATGTTGATCGAAATAAACCCGAGGGCATTTCCTTTTGTTTGTCGATAGAAAAGCAAACATATGATTTTCTCGTTTATGTGGAAGAACGAGTTAGTTTACAGAGCAACGAGTCGATTAAAAAAGAAGATGTTTTTGAAAAGAGAAAGTGTTCTGTAGAAGTTGGCATACTTATTCTGAGATTTCATTGTACTTATTAAAGTACAAATAACTTTCTCGAAAGGAAAATCATCGCTTTTGCTCTTTATGAACGTGGTACTGATTTAAAAAATCTTAAATTCAATGTTTACTGATTTTCATATAAAAACCTATGCCTGAATGAGAAAATTTTTTATTCTTCAATGTTCTTTTACCATAACTTTCATTTATTGACTTTTCTGCTCTTTACAAAAGGAGTTTCAGGTAAATTTGCTTGATAAGTATAATATGATGAGAACTCTTTTGTAAATGAAGGTTATTCATATAATCGACCAATGCTTTTTTCTAATCCAACGTGGAATCCGAATGGTACAACAATTGCGAATGGAGCTCTAATCGGATCAAACCCAGTCGACATATTTATTAATCAGAATAACACAATCTATATTCCAAATAAAAGCAATGGAAGAATTCTCACTTTTCTTCAAGGAAACTTAAGTTTGATCAAATATATTTCTGATAATTTAACAAATTCATCAAGTTTATTTGTCACAACACAAGATGATATTTATGTTGATTATGTAAAAGAATTCCTACGACCATACGGTTTCGACCTTTTTCAAGGGTCAATCCTCAGGTAGGACTAAATACTGCATAGAAAAATTCAAACTGAAATTTGAAATGATTATAAAAATCTTCCAAAATATCAAAATGAATCTTCAAGAAGCAGTAGAAGCAATTCAATACATAGTAAGAGACAAGTAACGCTCATCCTTTGGATTCGCTGACCCTTTTCTGAAAGATTTTTCCTAATGCTGAACACATTCAGAGACTTTGAAGGAGAAAAAACACACTGCGATTGCTACTAGTGCTCAACT